GAAAAAAATTTGTTTTATGTCATCACAGTGGGTGCAGAGGAGGTAATTTGTCCTGTTTTTGTAGCACATCTTCAACACAGGACTTAGGGAGTAATCCTGTGGTCACTGAAATCCTGGGCAGAGCTGTCAGTGGAGAGAGTGAAAATCAGATCCAGACTGGCTAAGAAAGTCGCACAGCATTTCCAGCAGAAATTTTCATGGTGCCCGATAAAGATTTGGTCGGTCTTTCAGCTCTTCAAGATCACCTGCTTGGCAAAGTGAGGTGCAACAGCTGTGACTGAAGGCAATTGTTATTCCCCTCCCCACCCAAAAATGCTGTTTCAGCAAATAAATTCAGCATTTAGAATTGTCAATCTAGAGTTGTGCCATTTCTTGGAATAAGTAGAAAGGACATTTAGTGGCTCTTTTAAATTTATCTTCTTTAATCCTGATGAAGAAATGTAGGTATTTACTTCAGTATTTAGTGAGGAGAAAGAAAATTCCCAGTTGACAGAAAGCAAAGCAAGTGCTGACTAAAAGAAATTTACTTAAGAAAGCAGACCTAGAACAAAAACTTAATTTCAGCTCTGCTACACTTGATGGGCTGACAAGAAACAAGAATCTTTACAGTCAGGTAAAGGATAACTCCTGACAGGCTCATATCCAACTATGTGGTCTTGCGAGAGAGCTCAAGGCTAATCCAGAAATTCATGAAACTTTCTCAGTATGTTGCTTCTTTAAGTGTCTTGGGACATTTTGCAGTCAGTGAAGCAAACTGTCCATGTAACTCTTCACAAGACCTGAGATTTAAATGCCTCGAGGCAGGGATGGCCATTAGCTGTGCAAGTCTGTATAGCAAATAACCCAGCAGGATAAGCAAGGACACATTCAAGTGCTTCTCAGAAGGCAGCTCTGAAAGGGCTGGAAAATACATGGCAATTCTGTGGTGCCACAAATGACTAATTTGACCTTCATCACCCCAAAGAAAAATTCCACCCCACTGAAGTCAGTATCCTGAAAAACACCAAAAATGTTTTCCCTTGTGCTGGAGCTTCACTCCATGGCTCTATTGAGGCCTCAGTAAATGCAAGCAGTGTTCGCAATGTATTTATATGGTTAAAAAAAAAAGGCACCTTACATACTGTTAAGACAACATTTTATAGCAAGTTACTGTTGCTTACATATTGTCTTAGACTTGGACATGCTTGCTTGTATTTTTTAGAGCAAGTTACAAAACCAGGAGAAAATAAATCTTATTACTTGGAAAACTCCTCTCTGCTTTGTGGAAAATCCTTAATTACAGTTGCTAAAATAACCAGGATATGTTTTATTCCCCAAAGACATCCTGGAAAAAAAAAAAAAAAAAGCTAATTTAATGGATACATTGAATTCAATGTATCCATTAAATAAGCAGCTGTTTTTCTGTCAATAGCACTGAGGGCCATATATAGGCTAGCAGTGGGGCTACAGTTCCCACAGAGAGAGAGGGACTGAATCCCTATTTACTGAATTCAATAAAATTATGCATTAATAACATTCATTTTTTCCAATCCTTTGCATTTTTTCTTCCAACATTATGAGCTACTAACTGACTAACTCACTCTACTTTTTACTATTTTGTCAGCACTTTATTCTCACATTTTAAATAGTTTGGGTTTTGATTGCACTCTTATAAAAATACTTTCAGATTGGGGAAAGTGGTTTATAAACCATCATTCAGCACTTTCCAGCCTGGCTTCAAATGATCCTCTCCTTTATTTCAAAAGTGCTGGGGCCTAGCACAATTCAGAGCTCCCTGTTGTGGTCATGTACTTTCTCTTCACCTCCTTTCAATGTTGAAGAGATTTATTTTTGTTTAGCTTTCTATCTCCATTCAAAATGAGACTACTATTATTAAGATGCATTTGGAGAACAGAATTCTACTATTTCCTGTTTATTTTTGGCTTTTAGCTAACTATGCTTGACAATTACATGTAACCACTTCATTTTGTAATATATTCCCTATATTTCCCTTCCAGCTGACCTAACACTTTCATACAGTAACATACTACAAAGTTCACTAACCCTTTTTCATCTGGAGGCATAACTGGGACTCTGTGTTCATGAATCTCTGAAGTCCACATCAATCCTTCTAACCAAACTTCCTTTCAAATGCAGATAGAGTACTTTTTCTCAACTCAATGAAAAAAGTTCCTTTGCTCCTTTACTATTTGCTTTATGATGTTTCATAATTTTAGATGGTAAGAAATACTGATGCTTAAATTTCATGGTCTTTAAAGTCAGTTTTGAATTCATGCTCAACAGTGGGTGAATCAGAGCCGACCTGCCTGTTAAAGGACTGTGAATATAATTCTGTCCTGAACTCTTTGCAAGCTTCATTTGTGGCGGCTTCTTTCACTCAAGGTTTACTGTGTTTGGCTGTATGGGGTGTCTTTCTTTCCCACTGAAGGTTAATGTTAGGTAACAAAGGCACATGCATGATCTGGAGGTCGCTCAGGCATGTGTGCCACATGTAAACATGGAGGCATGCCATCCCAATTAGCACATGCAGGAGTTTTGGACTGTGATGCTCTGCAGATCTGTCACCAGTAACACCCACTTGAGGTGCCTCTGACAGCCTCTCAGCCATTTCCACATAAATGCTCTTATGGCCTGGGAAACTAACTGAAGTTAAGCATCAGCTAATGTACAAAAATAAAATTAAAAAAAATTAAAAAAAAAAAAAAGAAGAAAGTGTAGGCATACCTAAAGCTTGGGATGTGTGAGCAGCTGCTTGTACATGACAGCTGCTTCAACTAGCTTCTCAAACTGTGCTGCTGCAGCAAACACAGCTCCTTCAATTACCTTGAATTAAGTACCAGCCAGTGACACCTCAGGGCACAGACTCTCTGTGGTCCAACGCCCTGATCCAGAAAAGCATTTAAGTGCATGCTTGCTTACCCTTTCTGTACAATGTTCATAAGCACATGCCTAGATGTAAGGACATTTTGAAGTCCTATTGAAATAATTTTGCAAGGGATTGGGATAAACAAGTCCTGGCCATGATACAGGCAGAAATTTATTAAATAAAAATGTTGTGTTTATCTCTTAGGTTTCTGCTAATAGAGCTAGGGTGTGGCTTTTTACTGAAATGTCACAGTGCAAATAAAAATTACTTTGGAATCTCTTTAAGACACTGCCTTTGTCTTTTCTCATTCCCTATTTTTCATTAGCAATGCACCACAAAGAATGCATTTCCCACAAATTCAAAAATAAGGCCAAGCAGCATGTTAATATGCATTGCTTGTAAGTCTGTGCACTGTATTTCAGAACCACTGTATGTATTTGCTACTTTAAAACAAAAAGCAAACCAAATGGTCACACAGAAGAAACCTAACTGGTCTGCTAGCACATCTCTGCCATGAAAAATTTATTCTCTCTAGACTGACCAGGGCATTGCATGAATGCTATCTGGCTTTAATTCCAGACATACATATGACCAAATGTGTGGCTACTAAGAGTGATGTTCAGCACAGTTGCTTGACTATCTGTGACTGGTGAGGAAACTCACTATTTGAAGCTCCAGTGTTGAATCAGGGTTCTTTTCTGGGGGGCAGATGAAGAAAGAGGTACACCTGCACTTTTTGCTCTGATTGTTTCAGGAGTACCTGAATGGCTGGCAAAGTGCCAATAGTATTTTCCCCAGCTAAAACCAAACCAAAACAAAATAAAACAACAACAACAAAAAAAAAGCAAAACTAAAACCCAAAACCAAACAAAACAAACAACCCCCCCCCCCCCAAACCAATGATAATTAAAATATCCTTGGTCAAATAATGCTCTTTGTTCTAAACAATTAAGGATTTAGGCTCTGCCTGCTTTCTTCTGGAGGCAGTTAATTTGCACCAAAAAAACCCAGACAAAAGTAAAGAATGGCACCTTTTGTTTCTTTGAGCTGATGGGAAATTTGCTATTGACTGTAAACCAGAATTTAACCTTGGGACAGATATCTGGATCTCTGGGGTAGAAAAAGATGTGTTTGGGAGTAAGAATATTGAATTTTAGTAGAAAGCTAAAGAGACAGTGACTATCTGAGTCTGCAAACAGCCAGAAATGCTTTCTTTTATTGTGTTGTGCATTGTATTTTCACATACACAGCCTTGGAAGGAATGGTCCACATTAATAAAGAAATTATAGTGGTCTTTTAAGACCATCTTTGTTCATTCTGTGTACTAAGCCCAAGGGTAGGTCAGGACTACCAGCAATTTAAAAAAAAAAAACCCTTCAGATTAGAAGAAACATCATTCAGCCCCTCAGGACAGTGAGCATAGCAGTCACTACTTACGTAGAAATTATAAAAATGCTATTATTGGACAGTATATATGACTACTATATAAATATTATATATATTGCTAATATAATATTATATATTACTAATATTTACTATATTATAATTATATATAATGAATATAATTATATATAATCATATTGAGAAAAGATGGAAAACATCATAGAGAATGAGCAGCATAAAAGCAACACCTTATTCTTCTACTTAAACAAAAATATAATGCTTTGTAGAGTGGCATGCCTTTTACTTTTCATTTGACTTCTATTGTCTTTTTATAAAAGGCTTCAATAGATTTTGGCTTTGTTGTTGGAAAGTATTTAATTAAAACAAGTAGGAATGAACAGGAAGTATTGTTCCATAGAATAACGCCACACACTTTAGTGAGCCACAGATTGTTAGCATTTTAACTTTAAAGGTCTACCCAGTTTAAGCCTTAAAAGTGCTAACAGTTTTGCTATACTGGAATTATTTACACATGCCATAATACATTTATCAGGAGGAGATTATGGAATATTTTGAGAGCTATGAAAGCTCATTCTTTTAATTTGCACTGGATTAAAATCTGGTGCGTTTCTGGCTTTTCTCAATATTTTAAAGACTGTACTTAGCAGTAAGGAGTACTTTCGTGAAGATTTAAACACTATACTTCTGGGCAGGGACAGCTGAATTTCACTGTTAGGGACTGATACATTCTTTGGCATATTTTTGATGGTGTAAGGTTCACACTTAGAGCACGGTACTAATAACACCAAGACGGCAGATTTGATCCCTGTATAGGCCATTCCCTGAAAAGTTGGGCTCAACAGTCCTTGTGGATCCTTCCCACTCAGAAAACTCTGGTGGTGCTGCGAACGCAGCTTATGCAAAGCACACAGACTTGGAATGGCCTCCCATGAAACAAGGATGAGCCAAAAATAATTCAAGCCAACGGACAATATAAAATCTTGCGAAGAATCAGGATATTCCACTATATATTCTCCCAAGGAGAGCAGTTAGGAAGGGCAGAGAACAGGCGAGCAGATGAGCCGGGATGCTGCGCTCCCGACGAGCCCGGGCGCGGTGGGTTCGCCGAGGGCTGCGGGCCGGGGGACGCAGCTGCCCCAGCCCCTCGGGGCCAGGAGAGGTCCCAGCGTGGCCCTGCCCGGCCGGCTGGAGCTGTGGGACCCCCCGATGCCGCCCCACCGCCTCCGCCTCCGCCGCGACCGGCCCCGCGCCCTCCCCTTCCTCCCCACGCCCCGCTGGGGACCCTTAAAGAGGAGGGGGCAGAGGCTGGAGGGCTTGGCTGGGGGACAGGGCTCCTCCTGAGAGAGATCTGGGATTGAATCGGGCGGCCAAAAACAAAAACTAACAGGGAGGAGGAAGGAAAAAAGAAAAAAAAAAAAGAAGAAAGGAAAAAAAAAAAAAAAAAGAGGCAAAAAACGTCGGAAAGGATAGGAGGAAGAAAAAGAAGGAAAGAAAGAAAAGAAAGAAAGAAAAATAAGTAAAACGGGGGTGCGGAAGCACGGCAAAGTGGGGGGACAAGACAGAACCCGCAGGGGGACGCGGTCCGCAGTCTGCGCGCAGCGCGGGGATGGTGCGCCCCGGCGGGCTGTGCCGCCTGCTGCTGCTGCTGCTTCTGCTGCTGCTGCTGCTGCTGCAGGGCTCCCTCCTCCTGCTGGCCACAGCCCGGCTCGGCCGCGCCGCCGCCTGCCCGCTCCGCAGAAAGGTAAGAACCGCCCGGGGTGCGCTCCTGCCCGGGGTGCCACGGGTGCGGTCCTGCCCGGGGTGCGGTCCTGCTCGGGGTGCCCGGGATGCGCTCCTGCCCGGCGTGTCCGGGGTGCGCTCCTGCCCGGGATGCCCGTGGTGCCCTCCTGCCCGGGATGCCCGTGGTGCCCTCCTGCCCGGGATGCCCGGGATGCGCTCCTGCCCGGGATGCGCTCCTGCCCGGGATGCGCTCCTGCCCGGGGACGCGGCTCGGTCCCCTCGGGGCGCGGTGACCGGAGCGGGCGGCGTGCGGGGCCGCCCCGGTCGCGGCTCGGTCCCCTCGGTCAGGCGGGCGGCGAGCGCTCGGCTGCGGCACCGCGGCTTCCCGGGACTGCGAGGCGGGGTGCTGGGACCGTGCACGGGGGAGGAGGACTCTGGGGTGACCCCCGGCAGGATGTTTTGCCTGCGGTGAGTAGGATGAGCTGTGCTGCTCGCCAGAAGACAGACTGGACGGGAGTGACTTGCTAACACCATCCCACGCAGGGTTACCGCCGAGTCCCACTTCAGAACGCTGAGCGTGCTGCAACAGGCTCGGACCAGCAAATGGCTATTTGGCGTGGAAACGCGGTTACGCGTTATATTAGGGTTTGCCTGTCTCCTAAACTTAGCAGCTTGCCGTAGCTAGGAGCAGCATGCACTGACTTAGCTCCACTGGGTGGTTAGCACAGCACAGGATCCCTGCTGCAAGTTAGGGGTGATATTATGGCCACTGTGAAGCTGGTGTAGACGGTGTCTGTCATTTCCAAGAAAGATCAGAAAAAGTGGTTCTTGTTGAAGCTTCTTAGATAAAAGTACCAAAAATCATGTAGGAAAAGCCTTCTTGAACTTTCTTTGTGTTAACAGGCCATTTGTGCTGTCTGTTGGCATCTACTTGGACCTGACGTGCTTCTGGGATATGTGTACCACCACTTCACCTTCCCTCCCAAGCAGGGTTAACTCCACCAGCACAGCTCTTAAGGAAACTGGAAGCCCTTAGGGGTAATTGCAGACCTGCTGCACTGGGGAGGTGCCAAAACCACAGCAGGCTTACTGCAGGGTAGGTGTCAAAAGGTTTTGCAACTGAGGAAGGTCTGCTCTGTGGCTCTGCTTTCTCACCTGCTCCTGCACCTACATGCAGCTCTTGTTCTTGGGAGCCTTCCAGCGTCTGTGAGCATGCTGGTTCCCCAGAATATCTTCTCCTAGGATTTAGGGAATTATGGAATCAGCCATATGCCAAGCTGCATGTGTTTCATTGGAGGTGTCTGCCTGAGCTTGAGTTAAAGAGAGCCTAGCCCTGCCTTGTGGGATGGGTGTCTTTACAATTTGCTCGGAACCAGTTTGTCAACTGGATTTGTAGGTGGCCAGCTGTGACACTGCCATAAAGCCAGGTCAAGCCTTTGGAGAGAGTAACCCCTTCTCCTTGAGGGCATGAGGTGCAAAAGATGTGGGCTGGTATGAAACTACTGCGAGGAGCTAGTGAGGGCAAGTACAAAGAGGACAGCTGCTGAGCAGAGGTTATACTTGTGGAAATGGATAACTTCACAGTTTGGGTGGGACCTGCAGGAAATTTTTTTCAGAAACAGCTGACTGTTCCGCCGGTTGCTAGCAAGACTGGAGGTGAAATGTGTTAATGGTAGGTAATTATCTGCTGATTACGCTGTCATTAAAATGTGAGACCGCCTGTAGTTCTGGAATAGGCAGGCCGTTTCCGAGGGTCATTAGGACAGTGGTAATAACCGCATTGTCTAGGAATGGCAGTGTTTGCCTTATTTACAAAACTGTTGAGTTTATCCTTTTGAATATTTACTTGAACTCCTTAGGGAATACTGTCTTGTTCCTGCATCGCCACGGGTGGCTTTTTAATTTACTTTAGTTTTTATAGGATTCCTTTTCCTACCTCTCTTAGGTCAAACTTTATTCTTTTCGTCAGGTTGCCTCAGTCTCTGCCATGAAAGAAGTTATGTGTGTTGTTGCCCCAAAAGCTGCTATTTTAAGGAATGAACCTACAGTACTTCAGAAGGCTTTCTCATCATGACTCCAAATTTTAGTTAAAGCTACAACCAATAATGTGTCTTATCATTCTCAAAAAAAAGAGAGAGAGACTTTGAAGGCAATGAATTTTAAAAAAAGTATGCTAGAATCTCTTTGGGTTGTGTTCCAGATACTAAGTAATGTGGTCTGGTACTGCTTTCTTTTTGCTTAACATCAGAGTGTATTGGAAAAATCAAAGCCAGAAATCAGGGATTAATTGTGGAATGCTTGTAGTTGTAGTTGGTTGGTATTTTATGATGTGTTGTTCCTGATAGAGGGCCAATTAATTTATATGGCTACTTTTCCCCCATATATGCCCTTTAGCAAAAGAAGTCATCTGTCTGTTCTTAACCTGTGGCTTTTTAGTTAAAAACTTTTTTTTTTTTCCATTTCTGGCACTTTGGATGTGTTCTCTTAGTAGCTGTAGCCAGTGCAGTGTTTATTCCCCGAGTGAGTTCTGCTTTCAGTCTTAAGCTGAGTTTGAGAGTGTCAGTAATGCAGGTGGGCAAAAGCTCAAGATAAGTACTTTTAAAAACATGGCTAACATTTTTCTGTGCATTACCATAGTTGCATGGGCACATAACATGGTGAGTAAAACCTTTGCCCCAATTAGGTATAAAGGAACATGACAAGATAGGGTGCCAGGATAGATAAGAGAGAGGGAGGAAGCCATAATAGGTAGGGTTATAGGGCTGCCTGCCTGGGTGAAATATTGCATGCCATGTGCTTTGGCTTCTGTAGCTGGCAAGAAAAATAAGGCAGGAGAATATTGTGGATTGAGAAACAGTGCAGTTCTGGGCTGAGGTTTGGAAAGTGTGGCTGTGAGGTCAGGTGGTGAATATTAGGGGTCCTGAAAGACAGTGAAGCCACAGAGGGCACCTCCCTGCACAGTGAGGTATACACTTGTGCTTTTAAGTGCATAGTCTGCATAGATGAGATAGAAGATGGAAGGAAGCAGACCAATTATAAGTTGTCCATGTCTGGAGTTCTCATCCAGTTCTTCAGTCTCTAGACAGCAGTTTTCCTTTACCTCTGAGCCTACATTCCCTGCATTGCCACAACCTCCTGTCGATACTTTTCTGTTAGTTTTTTTATACTCTCATGCTCTTCTAGATGTTTGGAGTGGTGTCACTAGGTGAATTCTTTGTTCCTCCTGGCGTTTTTCTGAATTGTTTTCTGGATGTTTACCAATTTTACTCTTATAAGTAAGTCATTCAGCCCAATTTGAGCTGATTTCTGTGGGGAAAAAAAAAAAAAAAGAAGACGATTTCTCTGATTTTCTTTGGCTCTTTGGCTTTTCTCTTCCAGAAGAATCATTGCTGCCTCACTTCAAGTGCTGTAAGATATTTGACAAATGCAGTATTTTTGTATTTGAAGACTACAGGATGCATCCTATATGGATCTCTAAATAGTGCTGGAAAAGCAAGCTATTGGTGCTAGTTAAGCTGAGCAAAATCAGAGGCTTGAGGTTTTTTAATCAAAAAGAAGGAACCTCATCTCCCAAGGAAGTACCCTTGATTTGCACCATGCTTTCCCAGAATTTTTGCAGTGGACACCGTTGTCCTGTCTTGTTGGGGAAGTGCTGTCTGTCCCTGTCTGTCCCCATTGCACCTCAGTGGACAGTGGAGTCTTCCCCTGTGCAGCCTTGGTTGAGAAGGAGGTTTTCCAAGTCTTGTGGCAGGGAGTGGATCCCACAAGTCCCACTGCATTCTCTGTGACTGTGTCAGCTTTCTCACCGACAGGGTAAGGCAAAGGAGAAGGCAGCATGTCGTAGTGCTGAGCATTCAGAAATACCTTGATCTGATGATTATCTGGACCTTTGTGTGGCAGCAAGCTGGGGGACCTGTGTTCTCTTGTGAGACTGCCCTCTTTGCTCAGGATTTTTCCCATGATGAGTAATACCTTGGGTACCACCAGCAAATTGTAGAGTGGAGACAGAAATATATATCCATGGATCTTGATCTATTCATTAACCTTTTTGTTGTTATGCTGCTGAACTGAAATTCCTCAAGCTGCACAGCCCAGCTGCCATAAGCCTACACGACAACACTTTGACTCTTTGTAATTTGTTTGAAAGCACCTTTTTTTTTTTTTTAATTGCAACAGCTGTGTGAAAGGATCCTATTGCAAATGAAAATTGGGCTGTAGCACTTTTATCTACTGCCTGCTTTCAGGGAAGTGAGGTGCCACGGTGATGGTGTATGGTGTGAAGCTGAACAAGCCTCGGCGCTGCTCCTGTGCTTTTTCACGGCTACCTAGAGCTCTGTTTAACAGCTTCCCTCTTATGGTATTGGGGTGAGATTTTATTCTTGCTTTTTCCATCTCTGAAGCTGCATTGAGACATGTGATCTCCAGGAGGTGGGCAGGGAGATGGCAGTGCCTAAAGGTACAGCAGGGGAAGTCAGGTCTGCTCAGGCACACCAAGGGCTTTGCCCCTTCTCCCACTTGCACAGGAGACTGTTTGCAGGGGTCTGGCACAGAGGCAGAGCAGTGCTGGGATTCCAGTCTCCACTTTGGAAAGGAAACAAGATGCCAAAGGAGTGTGAAGCACTAGCATGTCCGGAGCAGCTGTGGTGCCACCTTTTAGAGGGAGAGTGAGGTTTGGGAGCTCCCCATGTACCAAGCATCACTTGGTGATGATAACAACTGCTGGTGCCTGGAAACTGATTCTGCAGAGTCCAGGGAGTTTCCTGTCAGTGGTGGGACACTGAGGTTTTCTGCCCTCTCACGCTGGCTCCAAGCTTTCTGTGAAGGTCTGAGCAGTGCTTAGAGTGATTTCTCAAGTTCATGACTACTCCTTTGGACATCCAAGTGTCAGCAAGAGTGCTGACCTGCTTTGCTTCGTAATGTAAGGGTCTTGAGAACTGTGTGAAAATGTTTTCGATGTCTCAGCCTGCTTTCCTTCTGCCTGTGCTAGAGGCTCTTTAAAGGAAGATTTCATGTACTCTGTGCCTGATAGCCTATTTTATTTCTTCAGAGGTACCACTGGTACCAGGCAGTGTTACCCTGCTTTCAATATCCGATTATGAAAGTTGTGGGGATAAGCAGAGGAAAAAAAAAAATAAAAAATAGTAGAATGCCAAAAGCCTTTGTAGCTGGGCTGTGTGCAGTAGTCCAGAGCAGTGCTAATGATCATGTTAAAGTCTGGTACCAGTCATCTGGGTTTGAGCCTTCTTGCTGGATTTATTGAGGACCTGAAAAGCTGGCTGGCAACCCCTTGTTCTGCATGATTCCTTGCAGTTGTAGCTGGTTTTGTGCACTCCCACATACATGATCAGACTTGTGTGAAGAGAAATATTGACCTCCTAACCTCATGCCTGTCCCAGGTGACTCTTCTGTCTTTATACATGCAGTAGATGGAAAGCAGCACTTCTGTTCCTTCCTTCTTGCTGCCTGACCACTGCTTCCACCTAATTTCTCACCACAGTGGCATGCGCTTTCATTTTCCCCTTCTGACTAATGTTGGGGGAGAACTTTCTCTCATTTTCCCTCTTGTTTTGCTTTGCATATTCATTCTTCTGTATTCTCCCCAGGCCTATATTAGATTTTTATTCACCTGTTGCCCTGTATCTTTGGTACCCCCCTGATGCTCTTCATGTTTCTTAACCCTTCTTCCTATGGTCTTCAGGAGAGTTTTTGAGCTCTGTAATTCAGATGTGCATTCCAGGACTGTCCTATAGGATTTAGAGTTGTAGGATGGTGTTGCCAGGGTCTAAAGTATGCTTCAGATGCTTGATTTGCTGCAGAACAGTCTGAAGAACCCTTTGGAATATATTTGGTTTGTTCAATGCTCTTGGGCATGTGGTGCAGTTCTGGGGGCTGTCCCATGCAGCTCCAGGAGTTGGACTTCAGTGATCCCTGAGTGTCCCTTTGAGCTCAGGATATTCTATATTCTGTAGTCCATGCAGGTGAAGTGGACGGGTGGTAGCACTTTGCTCAAGTGCTGCCTGATCTGTGGCCTGGATTCGTTGTAAAGAGCTGCTGGAGAAGGTTGTCTGGGATGAGTCATTGCAGAGCAGTCTTTAAGATTAACCTTTCTGACCCTGAGTCTTTAGTGTCAGAAATTTATAGGCAATGTGCTTCCAGTAAATTCCTCCAAGTAGCCTGTTCTGCTTTTGGCAGTCAGGAAGGCTTCTTAGATCAGCACACGTGCACAGTTAGCCTCAGTGCTGAGGTTAGAGTTATCTGCTGGCTCAGGACTGACCAGATGTTTGAGGGCATCTGGAAGCCTGTTCTCTTAGACATGCAAAGGCTATCTCTTCCTGTCTGTGCAGACAGTCACTGCTTGTATCCATTGTTCCAGTAAGTACTGTGCCACCAGTGGGGTGCTGTGGGTGATGAAGGCTGTGCCTGCTGCTGGTGTAAAGTGAGTTGAAAGGATTCAAGCAGGATCCATGTTGTCCTGTCTGCTCCTCTGTCCCGTGGGAACACCACAACCGTGTATTGAGGTATCTCAGGTAATGCTGTGAGGTGTATTTTCCAGCAGGACAAATTTAAATCTGATTCTGACTTTGTGATGGCTTGGGTTTTGAGAGGTTTTAAAAGCTAATTTTAAAAAAGATACTTTTTTTAATCCTCTCTGTTTACAAGTAGACACCCTGAAACCAGAGGCCAGGTTTGGCCTGCAGAGGAATTTTTTCACTTATTTTCCAAGGTATTGCACGTTCTTCTCTGCTATTCAAGAAAGAGTGCTGGGCCATGAGGGGTCTTTACTGAGTGTCTGTCTGCCATGTACAAAACCTTATTTCTGCCTGTTCCAGCAAGTCTGCCTGCCAGCTGTGTTTTGTGTTACTCATTTTTTTTGGTGTCTTGCTGTTGTGTTATAATCCCAGCTGTCAACTGCACTCATTAAATTCCCATTCCATGAAAGAGAGGTTGCAAGAGAGCACTGGAAGGGTGAATTGTTGGGTTCAGATAACGACAACTTAATAGCTAAAGCAAAAGTCATGCACACAAGCAAAGCAAAACAAGGAATTCATGCACCACTTCCCAGGGCAGGCAGATGTTCAGCCATCCCCAGGAAAGCAGGCTCCATCACATGTAGCAGTGATTTGAGAAGACAAACCCTACTGACATAATTCTGAATGTCCTCTCTCCTCTCCCCCTACCCTCCTTGGCTTTTCGTGCTGAGCATGATGCCATATGGTATGGAATATTGCTTTAGTCAGTTAGAGCCAGCCCTCCTGGCTATATCCCCTCCCAATATCTTCTGCACCCTCAGCATGTGTGCTCACAGTCATTTAATAAGGAGAAAAGGCCTTGGCTCTGTGCAAGCACTGCTCAGCAATAACAAAAACATCTCTATAATATCAGCACCGTTTTCAGCACTAATCAAAAACTCAGCCCCATACCAGCCACTGTGAAGAAAATGAACTCCACCCCAACCAAAACCAGCATAGTCAAATGGGAAGTTCACCCATGACGCTGTACCACCTTCTGACTAACTGTCACAGCAGTTTCTTTGATGAAAGATGCCTTGCTGTGCTGAAGTGAGAGGTGAAAGTGATAGAAATCCTGCTTTGCTTCAGCAAGTGGTACCAATTTTTGACTTGGTGAAAGGCAGAAGTTGGGTAAGTATTGTGCCTGAATCATGGTGTGCTAGGGCTGTGCTCTGCTGCTGCTTTTGGTAGATATCCAGATGATGTATCAGGTGATACTACTGTTGAGAAGATGCAGTGTTACCTTTCAGGAGGAGAAAACCCAAGCCAATGTTCTTATGTTTTTATTTCATGAAAACGGAATTTTTACCTCAGGACCTGAGAGAAACAATGGTCAAAGAGGACTTTATGTGAGCAAAGTCACTTTAGGAAAAGTCCATGCTGGCAAGCTGCTGAGCCAGGTGACCTGCTGGTTTGGCAGCATTAAGTTTTCCTTAAGCCTTCTGCTGCAGTGGCCTGGCGTAAATGCGTGTACTTACTCAGCTGTGTCTCCCTCTCTCCCAGCAAAATGAGCTGAACTCCTTCCTCTGGACAATCAAGAGAGATCCCCCATCTTATTTCTTTGGCACCATCCATGTCCCATACACACGTGTCTGGGATTTTATCCCAGAGAACTCCAAGAAAGCCTTCCAGCAGAGCCACATCGTGTACTTTGAGCTGGATCTCACTGACCCCTACACCATCTCAGCTCTCACCAGCTGTCAACTCCTGCCACAGGGGAAGAACCTCCAAGATGTGCTGCCCCGAGACATCTATCGCCGGCTGAAGCGGCACCTGGAGTATGTCAAGCTCATGATGCCATCCTGGATGACCCCAGACCAGCGGGGCAAAGGGCTGTATGCAGACTATCTCTTCAATGCCATTGCTGGCAACTGGGAGCAGAAGAGGCCAGTCTGGGTGATGCTGATGGTGAACTCCCTGACAGAGGTAGACATCAAGTCACGAGGCGTCCCCGTCCTGGATCTGTTCCTGGCGCAGGAAGCAGAGCGGCTGAGGAAGCAAACAGGCGCTGTGGAGAAAGTAGAAGAGCAGTGCCACCCACTCAATGGGCTGAACTTCTCCCAGGTGAGGTGGAGTGGTGTGCAGGGTGCCAGGCTAGCTGCTGAGCTGAATATTGCAGCAGAAACAGCATGGGCTGGGGTGCGGGGTAAGTGCTTTCCACCCAGAGACTTGTGTCTGCTCCCTGCAGCCTGTGCCTTTGCCTGCATCCTTAGGAGAATTTGCTAGCACAGGATCAGACCAGAGCTGAATTCACCCAGACCTGGGCTGGGAAGACCCCTGTTCTCTTCCTTGGGCATGTTCTACCCCCAGAGACACCAGACCTTTGGATGTGTGCTCTCTAACTGTGACTGGGCTGCCCTGCAGGAGCTCAGGACAGGCTGGGGCTCAGTCTCCAAACTTGTTTCTGTAATAGCAAGTTAAAAATAAAGAAGTGATTGCTTGGGGAAAGCAGGGATGCTATGAGTAGTGCTGAGAAGTAACTGCTGGTTGGAAAGCATCACAGTGAATATTTTGATGCCCTCAGAAATAGGATCCCATCACCCACAATGAGAAAAGTATTTTTTGTTTCTTGCGGTTTTCTTTTCTTTTCCCTTCCTTTGTTACCAGGTGAGGGTCAGCACAGGACAGCTTTCTTCAGGGAGCTTCAGAGACTAGTATAGGCCCTGGTGCAAATGCTTTTGTGTTTGCAAACCTGTTGGACTTCAGCACTGTTCATGCAGCAGAATGACCTCTATGTTATCCATGTGATGGATGAGGTTCTCCTCTGTTGTTGTCTCTGCCCAGTGGGATCGCAGGCATAATGTTGCTCTCTGATGTGGGATGCCTTTGCTGTAGGGTGGTGATAGTTTGGGGAGTGGAAGTGGCATTTGCTTAGAAATAATCAAGACTTGCATTTTGCAGTATGCCCTAGTAGCACAAGATGGGAGGACCTTTAGTCACAGGGCTGGGCAGTTTTGACTGCTGCCTTACCTTCTCCCCTGTCCTGTCACTGATGCACAGTTCGGAAAGGAAAGAGCAGAAGGCAAATGCAGCACAGCAAGGACAGGGACAGCAGCCCAGGACACATATCTGAAGTGCTGCTACCCCAGACAACATTGGTGTGGGGACCATGGTGCAGGGAATAGCACTACAGCCCAGGCTGCATCACTTAAGCAGTCCTTAACTACAGGCAGGACTTCTGCACTTCTTATTTCCATTCTTTGGAACTGGGCAACCTCATTTGTATCTCCAGTCTTTTGCTTAACATGGTGCTTTGAATCGTTATACTGTTGCTGTTTGCTCACAGCTAACCTGGGAATAGGCTGGGAAGTCCCTTCTTTTCCAGCTCTTACCTGGTTGAGGATTTATAAGCATTATCACCCGTGTTTTTCTTTTGCTGGCATTACCCTTATAGTTTATCATTATAAAAGTGGAGGTGTAGGCATTTTTCTCCACTGCCTTGGAAGAAAATATTAGGGAGACGGAGATATGTTGACTGCAAATCATATCCCTATTAAGCTCATGTAAATGTTGACTCTTAAGCCTTCTCAGCTTTCTTCAAAGAGCAACTGGTTTTATGCTGTTTAGCTGATGGGATAAATACCAAGTGATCCAAGAAGCTGCATGGGTAAGGGACACAGAGCTGCAACATCCAGAATTGCCCAGCCTTCTGAGAAGGCCAGAGAGACAAAAACTGCAGGAGAATCTAGCGTCTGGTTGGGAAAATCATGTCCCTTGGTTGCCCCATGGTGAGTGGAGGTGTGCATTTGCATCATGAAGGCTGCAGCTCCTTCCCTGCCTGCTCAATTCCTAGGGAAGGAGCACATTGTCCCTTGAGGGAGCCGGTCTGGTCTGAAGCAGCTATTGCACTGCAAATTCATACTGCCCACTACTAGATTTCCAATACAGGCAGCTCAAGGAAAAGGAAAACCAGAGGAAGATGCTTTTTGTGTTTCTAAGCCAATCTCATGGCTCAGAAACTGACTTGTAAACTCTCATGGTTGGCAATTGTGTCAGTCTTTGATTTCAGAGCTTTCTTGTCAATTTATTCAGGCTGTAGAGTTAATTATGTGTTTAATAGAAACCAAAAAAGAGTTTGAAGTAGGTTCTTTGGAAACTATTTTCTTTAGTCTGCTGCTGTTTGAAAACACCCAGTATTGGGCCACTTCTGTACAAACACATAAGCATGACTTAGAAACTTCTGTTGGGGAAAATGGAACAAAACCCATAAGGAACAGTCTAACACTGTACAAGAAATATCACAGAGTCACTGAATGGCCAGAGTTGGAAGGGACCTCAAAGATCACTTAGTTCCATTCTCTCTGCCATGGACAAGGACATCTTTCACTAAGACCACGTTGCTCAGAGTCTCATCCAACCTGGCCTCAAACACTTCCAGAGATGGGGCATCTACAGCTTCTCTGGGCAATCTGTGCCAGTGCCTCACCACTCTCACAGTTACCAATTTCTTCCTAATATCTAATCTAAACCCACTCTCCTTCACTCTGAAGCCATTCCCCCTTGTAAAAAGTCTTTCTTGTAGGCTTGCTTCTCATACTGGAAGGTGCATCATAGGTCACACCAAAGCCTTCTCTTTTCCAGGCTGAACAATCCTGGTTGTCTCAGCCTTTTTCTATAGGAGAGGTGTTCCTTTCTTCCAATCCATCTTGGTGGCCTTCTCTGGACCTACTCCAACACATCCATGGTGTTGGGACCCCAGAGCTGGAGGCTGGGTTCCAGGTGGGCTCTCACCAGAGCAGAGCAGAGGGGTAGAATCCCTTCCCTCCCCACGCTGCTTTGGATGCAGCCCAGGACACCTTTGGCTTTCTGGGCTGGGAGTGCCCATGGCTGGGTCATGTCCAGCCTCTCACCCACCAGCACCCCAAATCCTCCTCACAGGGCTGCTCTCTATCTGCTCATCCCCAGCCTGTCCAGCCTGTGTTGATACTGGAGATTTCCCTGACCCAGGTGCAGCATCTGGCACTTAGTCTTGTTAAACTGCATGAGATTCCTATGGACCCACTAGTTAAGTTTGTCCAGGTCCCTCTGGATGTCATCTAGGGAGATGCTCTTTTTCCTACAGCAGAATCATAGATAAATTATTTGCTTATCAGAGAAGCAAGGTCAGTGTTTTCAGTTTGTTCCTACATAGGGTTTGCTTTTTCTTTCACATCCAAAATTATTCTTCATGGTGGTAAGTCAAACTCCCAAGCCACTTCCAAACCATACATTGTTACTGGCTGTTTTGATCCATTCTACTGAACAAGACCTTGTTGGTGTATGTTATTACAGGTGAAGGTCTGGAACAGTTTATTCTTGTCTCCCTGGGCACAGTGCTCAATAACTGCAAAGTACCGACAAACCCAAATTAGCAACTTCCTTCTCCTTGGGAAGAGGGAACAGTAAAACATGAAAAAAAAATTCCAAAAAACACATACAACAGCCAACAGTGCCCGCTAGGGGTCTCTTTTTCTTTGACATTTGTACCAAAGACTTTTGGTTTATGACTCTCTTATTTTATTTTCAAAACTCTCTGTTTGTGCTCAGCTCAGGCTGCCTGCCCACATTGCCGAATCATAAAAGTATCTTTTCTGTGCAGAACAAAATGATGTGTACACAATCTGTGAAATACTTTACTGCCTTCTCAATCCCTCTCTCTTGTTCTGAGTTCTGGGCAACTTCAGGAGTATGGATAGATTAGTTTGTCTCCATTCCAGGGCCATGGTGTTCATTTTTCTTCTTTCATGCTGTTTCTATCCCAGTTTGTCTTACAGACTTGTTCTCCCACTCCACCTTCTTTGCTGGGTAGTGCTTCTCTTGTTGCAATAACCAGCATAGGTCTCATTCCTAGCTGCATCTGGGCTTTGTAGCTGTGCATGATCTGCTACTGCTGACTTCCAGCATGGAGTCAGTCCCTCCCAACTCTTCCTTTCCAGTTATGCATGTGCTTACATGTTTTCTGTATTGGGGGCATTAGTGCTCCAGCTCAAAACAGCTTTGCTGCTGGCTTCAGTAGTGTCATGGACATCAGTTTAGTACTGGCTCAGAAGATGAGCAAGTGTTGGCCCTTGTACTGTGTCAGACACTTTGCATCCCATGATCTTAGGTTGATATCTTCTGCATAGTCAGCCAAGGCCAACTCACTGTCAGTCCCTGACAGTCCAACTCCTACATCTCCTCCTTTCTATTGGGCAATAAAAACTCCTAACAAAGATTTTTTGCAAAATCTTCTGTAAGCCACTCACTAAACATGGCAATAACATCAACATGACAACAACTATTACAAGAATTAACAATCCTGTCTTAATCAGAGACAACAACCAGCCTGATAAGTCCCAACCTTTAAACAGTCTGTTTAACCAGTTCTTACCATTTTCCACTTGTAGTTTCTTGACTCGTTCCTTTAATAGTTGGATGCTCTGGTGTATCGACTCACTATGGTCAGACAGATTCATGCAGCATAACCCTTCAAAGTCTTGTCATCCATGCCCTTATTCCAGCAGCAGAAAGTCACCTGTTACAGCAGAAAGTAATTCTGTTATATAGAATGGCATGCCTAACACTACTGACATCTGTTAATAGACCACTTAGTGCAAGTGGCATAGCATTGGTTTGCTTACTCAGCCAACACCCCAAACTATCCAATTGTTTTGGTGCTTTTGCTGCAGCAATCCAAGGTGCCAATATGGATACTGCAACTTTTTTTCTTCCAATAAATAACCTCATCTTTACATTTTGATTCAAATTGATAGATGAATCTTTTTTCTTGAATTTCTCTGTTGTGAATTAGCGTGATGTTGGGTGTTAATAGAGTAAGTCTTCCCAGGCTACATGGTCCACCTTTAAGGGGCGATGGAAGGGCAGGGTTATGGTCTATCCCCACAAATGAAAAACATTCCTTGTGGCAACTGCAGAGGTTTGTTACTGAACCATGAAAGTATGGGTGATGTATAATTGCACCAAAGGCTTTCATTTTTATAGACAGGGTGATAAGGGAAACCATCCCAGAGAGCTGACTGATCTTTTGTTGTTCAATCCAGCTTGAATAATTAAACTTTGCACAATAGTCCATTCTAACCAAACCA